GCATTTACCCATCCACCCCAAGATTGGGGGAAAGAAGGATGGATGAGGATGAACATGCGATCGAAATGAACGGGAAGGAACAGATCAGCCGTGCGCAGTCATACCAATTAGGCACGATGACGAGGTCGAGGAGTCGTGCGCAGACTTCAGTACACCTATAAAAGCGACTCTCTCACTCCCTGGCGCACTAGCCCTGAGGATGCCGGCAGGTGACGGCGAAAGCTAGGCGCTTTTTTAATAAATTTTATAGTTTTATTACCCTGGTGATCATTTTATTTCTCACTATATATATATATATATATATATATATATATATATATATATCTATATATATATATATATATGTTTCTGAGGTTTTCTATTTGTATATAGGTCTTTGGTTATTCGGGTTTTCTCCCGCGTAAAAAATTGGAAGTGTCTTGGCAACGTTTCGACGAAGTCACATTCGTCATCTTCAGGCTGGTGTTTTTAGCTTCTTGCTTTGAGCAGCAATGTGTGGTTTTAGCTGTTTCTTCCTTTTAACTGCCAGTGAGGGTATGAACTGATTGGATGGGAGCTTGGCTGTGTTCTGATTGGGTGGAGGTGTGTTCTGAATGGTTAGGGGCTTGGCTGTGCTCTGATTGGCTGGGGGAGTGTTCTGTTTGGTTGTGCTCAGGTTAGTCTGAGTTGCAGAGGGGTTTAAGATTTTGGGGTTAGGGAGTCGTTTGTCAATAAGGGCAGGGGCTTAGAAGGGTCAGGTAAATGGCTTTATCATCTCGCTTGTTCATGCTGTGTGGGCGTTTTTCTATCTCGATGGCTTCTCTGATTATTCTGTTATTAAAATGTTCACTTTTGGCAATGGTTCTGGTATGTCCTGTGGCTTTAAGGTGTTGGACCAGGGAAGATGTTGGTTCCTCTTTTTTGACTGAGTTCTTATGTTCTTCAATGCGTGCACTTATTCTTCTGTTGGTTTGTCCGATGTATGTGGTGGGACAAGTGGTGCATGGGATTTCGTATACTCCTTGATTTTCTAATTCAATTTTATCTTTGGGGTTTCTAAGGATGGTGGATATTTTTCTGTTTGTGCAGAATGCTGTTTTGATGTTGTGTTTATGGAGGATCTTACTGATTCTGTCTGTGGTGCCTTTTATGTATGGGAGGAGGGCTTTGCCGTTTTCTTGTTCTTTGTCTTGGATTTTAGTGGGGGTTTCTTTTTGGATTAGGTTTGTAATCTTATTTCTATGGAATCCATTGGATGTTAGTACATTGGTGAGAGTGTGTAGTTCGGTTTTTAGGTGTTGTTCGTCAGCTAAGCGTTTTGTTCTGGAGATGAGTGTCTTGGCTACAGAGTTGATCTGTGCTGGGTGGTGGTGTGAGAGAGCGTGCAGATAGCGGTTTGTGTGTGTTTTCTTCTGGTAGATGGTGTGTCCTAGGGAGCCATTGGATTTCTTGTAGACTAAGACATCCAGGAAGGGAAGTTGGTTGTTAGCTTCTGTTTCCATGGTGAACTGTATTTTGGGGTGTAGGCTGTTGAGGTGTGTGAGGAAGTTGTCCAGTTTTTCTTTCCCATGTGGCCAGATTATGAAGGTGTCGTCTACGTATCTGAGCCAGAGTTTGGGTTTGTGATCCGATTTTTCTAGAGCTTGGGTTTCAAAGTGTTCCATGTAGAGGTTGGCAATGACAGGTGAGAGGGGTGATCCCATGGGTGCTCCTTCTGTTTGTTTGTATTTTTGTCCATTATAGATGAAGTATGTGTTGGATAGGCAGTGGTTGGTCAGATCTAAGATGTGTTTGGGGGGGTTATATTTGTTTTGAATAGCTGTCAAGGCTTCTTTGATAGGCACTTGGGTGAAGAGGGATATGACATCGAAGCTCACTAGTAGGTCGCTGGGCTGTAAGTTTTGTTTCTTTATGATCTCTATAAACTGGAATGAGTTTTTTACGTGTGAGGTGATGGATTCTGCATAGGGCTGTAGTTGTTTGGCGAGAAATTTGGCTAGGTTTTGTAGAGGTGAGCCTATGGAGCTGACTATAGGTCTGAGTGGGGTTCCTTCTTTGTGTATCTTGGGGAGACCATAGAGTTTAGGGCATCTGGATGATTTCTCTCTGGGAATGATTCTTTGCTGGATCTCTTCGCTAATGGGGGAGGCTTTTATCTTGGTTCTGGTGGTTTTTTCCAGGTAGGTGGTGGGATCTGTATTTAGGGGTTTGTATGTGGAGTCTTGGAGTAGGTTGGTTAATTTGGTTTGGTAGTCAGATGTGTTCATAACCACCGTGGCGTTGCCCTTGTCTGCTGGTAGGATTATTATGCTGGTGTCTTCTTTCAGGTTACGTAGTGCTGTCTGTTCCTCTACGGAATACCTTCGTATGTAAGTATCCATCTGGTTGACGGTGGATGGAAACATCTAAGAAGGCAAGAGAATTGTGTCTTTCTTCCTCTACAGTAAACTTTATGTCAGAGTAGATGGAATTTAATATTTCCATAAATGTAGTTACATGTTGTCTTTTGACAATGGCAAATGTATCGTCCACGTATCGAATAGAATCCTCCATTACCAGAGTAATCATCCTGTTTCCCATAAAATCAGCTGCATAAAAACGTTATTTAAACGCGTTGACTCCCACTGCAGCACGGATGAATATAAGAAAGAAGAGAGGAGACACCTCTTCCGTACGTGCATATATAACGGTTATCCATTAAAATTTATCAAACGACATTGTACAACTTTCCAGCACCAGACCACCCAACGAAGAAGGGATTCCCCCCTACAAAAAACACGCATCTCCCTCCCATACATAAGTAACATCTCAGAGGCCACAGCCAGACTACTAGCACCCCATGGTATAGAAGTAGCTCACAAACCTAACCAAACCCTACGATCAAAAATTATGCATCCAAAGGACCCCCTACCTACCATGGAGAAATCTGCTATTGTTTATAAGATCAACTGCAAAAACTGCGAAGGCAACTATGTGGGAGAAACAGCCAAACGCTTGAAAACTCGCCTCCACGAACACAAACTGGCCATAAAACGAGGCGAACCACACTCACAACTTTGGATGCATATGGCACAACAAGGCCATCAGTTTGACTTCAATAACACCCTTATCATAGCCAGTGATGCCACGAAGGGAGGTCGGCTGCTAAAAGAAGCCTGGTTCTCGAATAACAACTCAATCAATCGTCACATTGACTTGCACCCAGCACAACAAGCGCTACGAAAATGGAACTCAAACCATCATCCTTTATATCACAAACCTTACAATCAACATCCACAACATTCTAAACCAGGAGCTACACCTCCTCCCTACCAGAAACAATCTGATATAGACTACCCAGAAACCCCCCAACAATATCAAGAGGAAACCACACCCCCTTTAATTGGAGAAAACAACAATAATGACATTGGAGCGCTTAAGAAATTTGAGGATAGAACCACTAAATTTAGCACTACCCATAATAATAATAAAAGTGAATATCCCATACAGAGAGGGGAGAAAAAACATGTGATGACGACCCGTTCGCTTGATAAAAGGGAAAGTAACATGAGCGGGGAATCTGCCCAAATACCAACAGATTTTTGCTCACAGAAATGGGGGGGATTTAACTTGAATATTGACCTACGAGGGAAGATGAGCATGGGGGACACCATGATGGAGGAGGAGGATTCAAACATTGAAAAATACCACATCCAGTTGATGCTTGTACATGCGAGCGAAGATAAATACGGGAGCACGCAGCAGAGGAAAGATGTTAAATTGCAGCCGATGAAGCCCCGCCTCCATGGTAGGATATACAATGACATCAAACTAAATCCCCCCACTGCAACGAGAGCCAATACTGCCGGGAGAGGGCGGAACATAACTTTAACAATACCCCCTGAGGTCGACGGAAATGTGAACAAAAGTGCTCGAGAGAACGACAGAAGAAATCTTTACTCTGATTCCCCCTCCCACCTATCAGCTGTTCAGCAGGGAATGCTAGCACAGTCTAGGAACCACGTGCAGACGTCTATGGAACCCGTTTGAATCACCTTGTTAGAAACGGTCTCTCAGCCCTGAAGATGTTGGGGAGTTTTCCCAACGAAAGCTTGGCAACCTTTTAATATAGTAAAATACTTTAATTAAAGTATTTTAACTTTAAACTCTCCTGGTGAACGCGCTTTATTCATTTCATTTATATATATATATATATATATGTATGTCTGTATGTATGTATGTATGTATGTATGTATGTATATATGTTAATTATAAATTAACACAATCTGGAGAGACAGAAAACCAGGTTTCAATGGAAATTTTCTCCCAACTTCAAAAAGTCCCTCCTACATATCCTACTAATTAATCCCAACTAATTCAAAGAAGAAGAGAGGTTACTACAGGTTCTCAACATCTGGAATCCAATTCTTACAAGGTAAAAATCAAAAATTGAAAAGAGCTCTAAAGATTATAGTTTGGTATGGCCTACAATCAACGTTAAATCCAGGTGCCATTCAATATTCTCTGTATTAGTTTCACTCCATCCATATAACTGAAATTGATGCTGCTTACTACCACTTAGTGTCTTACTGCCCCATTCTTAAAGAAATCTCCCTATTCAGTGAATTTATAGTATATACAAGAGATAATAAGTACAGTACAATATGTATTTGTATGTGTATACACATAAACACAGAGAGGCATACGTACATTCATGTGCACACAAGCATACGCACACACACAAAACAAAAAACAATATTAGTTAAGATATATTAAAATTAAAAGCCATTAAAAGATATTTGAGAATCAATGTACACATTAGCTATGTATTTAGCATACAGTATCTCCACAGAAAAGTAGCAAGAATAATTATGCAATTAAGAAAGGTCTGCTAAATTTTGTAATAGCTGCTCCAAACATTATTTCATTAAGCTACACACAAAGATAAGGACAGTAATTCAATCATACAAAGCAACTGCAGCTTTTGCTTTTCTTTTTTCTTTTTCCTGCCTTCTTTCCTTTTTCCTTTGCCTTTTTTTTACCTTGTTTGCAATACTTGTGATAAATGACTTGATGTCTAGATTAGTTGGGCAGCTCTTCTGACAGGGGGCATCTGCACACTTTAAGCACCTGGGGAGGAAAGTAAATGAGTTAGAGTGACTTAGAGCACAAAGCACTGCCAACAACATACAATTTTTCCATGTACCTGACAGAAGCTAATCAATCTAAAAATTAATAATACTCTACTGTTCTGGCAGAAACTCAAAAAGGTTCCCATGGGTAAATGCTATTATCCCCACGCCACAGACAGGTAAACCAAGGCAGCTGATCCCAGATCATTCAAATCTTGAAAGTGAAAAGCAAGCCACCCATAAAATACAATTCCCCAGTGCATATATTTGTTATAATTTGTATTACGTGATGATAATCTTCTGCAAAGTCTTTATTTCAAACAGGCAAAAGCAACATGTACCACTAAACCAGCAGATTTTAAAACACTGCATTATGCCCTACCCAGCTTGCAGAATCCTGATCATTGTTTTTTTTTTCATTTTTGTAGTTTTTAATCTCCTACTATTAAACATTCTTGAGCATATTCCATCAAAATAATAAAACACAATAAAACAAAAATAAAATACCACCAGAGGAAGACAGAGTAAATTTAATATTAAAATAAAGAATAAGATACAGTGATTTCAGAATTATTAATTCTCTTCTGGACATTTCCGCAGTATAAAAACTTTCATAAATATTAGCATTTTGCCTAACGATACTTTAAAAAAAACTGATAAAAGAGCAATAATAAATCCATATACTAATCTGTGCCTAAATGTAACACTAATCTATGTCATATGTGTAGTCTTCATCTTGCAACCACAACTGAGACCAGAATTTGTTTTTAAATGAGACGATTGTTGAGACACCCGGTTTTATAACCTGCTGCGCTCCAGTTGACAAGTGAATTGTTGCAGTTGTGAATCATGAGGTCTTTAAGCAAATCTAGTTTTCCCCATTGACTTTGCTTGCCGGAAGCTGGCTGGGAAGGCTGTAAACACCGGTCGTACGGCCCCAGGATGCTGTAACCATTGTAAATACAAGCTGGAGTCCCAGCAACCAAATTCTAATCATGTGACCATGGAGATCCTGTGTTGGTTGTAAATGGGAGGACTGGTTTTACATCACATTTTTCAGTGCCATTGCAACATTGAACGGTCACTAAATGAATGGTAGTTAAGTCAAGGACTGCCTGTACTGATATTTGAACAAACTCTGCATTTACAGTGATCCTCTTCTCAACTGGGTGGTTTACTAGTATGTCCAAATAAATCAATTTCAGGCTGTGGTTTACAATCTTGATATAGTTGGATAATCTACAGCCGTGGTTCTCAACCTTTTTAATGCCGCGACCCCCAACCGGTCGTAAGTTGAGGACTACTCAACCGGTTGTAAGTCAAGAACTACTCAACTGGTCGTAAGTCGAGGACTACCCAACCAGTCGTAAGTTGAGGACTTTCCCTGCCCGGGAGTGCCGCGCAAGCGTGGTGCTGCCCCTTGCGCCAGCCGAGGCGTAGCTGAAAAGGGGCAGCGACGGCGCAGGGCAACCACTGGCTGGGCCACCAGCTGGCCCAGCCCAAGGGAGGTAAGGCACCCACCGGGCCCCCAGACAGCTCGCCTTCGCTGAAGACAACTTGCAGCACCGTTTGCAGAATGGGACTTTTGGCGAGCTCAGCAGGGCAGAGACAGCCTGGACAATTCCTATTGGCTTTTGAAAGCCAATAGAATTAGACTCTATTCAAGAGAGTCTATTCTATTGGCTTTCAAAAGCCAATAGAATAAAAGGGAATAGCACAGCTAAGGAAAAGGGGGAAAAATGGCGGATTGCGTTGTTTGGCGACCCCCGTGAAATGGTCGTTCGACCCCAAATGGGGTCGTGACCCACAGGTTGAGAACCTCTGATCTACAGTAATGTTGAATTATGGCTTAACTTGCAATCAAAGGAGGTCGTAACAGAGCCATCATCATCACCACCACCACTGTTAAGTCCTGTGCAGAGGAAGTGTTTTCCAGCAGTTTTGATCATTCACAGCATCTTCGGCATCGTCTCAAGAGACATTAATAATCTTAAGATCTTCCTCAAGTGTTTGGCACCAAGTTTTCAGAGGCCAGCCTCATTTTCTCTTTTCCTCAGAAGGTATCCAGCATAGTGCAATTTTTGGATGCCGGTCTTTAGACATATGTAAGATATGGACAACAAGCTGCATTTGACGTTCATTCACCATTTTCCATAGGTGTCCTAAATCTAACCTTTGTGGTATCTCCTCATTAGTGATGTGGTCAAGATAGGAGACATGGAAGGTGCTCAAGCAGCATTGTTGGAGAACATTTAATTGTTTAATTATGGTTGTACACTTCCATGTTTCTCATGGAAACTTTTAATGACTGTAAAAATCCGAATCCCGGGCATATCTGTTCATAATATACAATCTTCGAACTCCGGGAGGAATATAAATCAGCTGTTTATTGTTAAAGATTTAAAAACAATAAAAGCAACTATTTACAATACTAAAACAAACTTAGCTTTCTCTGATCCACTGTCAGAGTTGGCCCAGGTGCAGTTTCATACTAGAGTAACAACAGATAAAATACAAGGAGCACAGGGGCATGTTTTGAAAAGAAAAACAGAAAAGCTAAAGGTTGGAGACGGGAAACAGGTATCTTCAAATCACAGGGCATACTGATATTGTGGTTTTTGATATGTTGTTTTCATTTGCCCCAGTCTGACCCATACCCAAAAGATATATTTGAAGTAATATAAATCCTGTCACATAGAGATGACATGAAAAAGTTCTGTTAAATCATCTTTAACAATCAGGGACAAAAGATCAATCTTCAAAAGGATGTAGAAGAATGCAAACTTATTCTCATCTTATGAACTTAATCAAAACCCGTTAAGATTCCTTGCTCTTAATAAACTTTACTCTGAACTAAGGATTCCTTTGTTATTGTTCTTTTTAATCTTTTTTTCCACTCGCAAAGTGACAGAGCATGAGGTGATTTCAGGCAAATCAGTGTCCCTTTCTACCAAATTTTAGCCACCGATCTGGAAAATAGGAACCGTAGAACTGCTCTATTTTACTTGCTCCAAATATTACATGCATTTTCTTTTATTAACATGCATTTTCTAAAAGCTAAGAGGTGGCATATTATTTCATAAAATATCAAGTCATACTTTTTGAGATGTGGTGAGTTGCAATCTTCTACCTTCAGACCATTCTTATGATTATCAATAATAATCATGTCATGTTATTTATAATCAGGTGTTGAATATAAGGCAGTAAACTTATTTTCAATAAGAGCATTTAATCCATAATTTTTACTTGAGAAAGAGGGAGGTTAGAAAGATATTGAAAACAGAATTGAGAAAATGTGGAAGTACCATAACATTCAAGAGGAGAATATGGTTAAATGTGAGAGTTACCTTTGAATAAAATACAGGTAAGTTCAACTTTAAAGTTCAAATTTATGAGAAAACAATGTGTAAGCCTCTTTGGCTCCTCTAACCAAGGAGAAGATGAATATAATTATTTCAAAGTCGACAGCTTGCAAAAGCATTACCAGACTAATCACCGTTCAAAGCAACTGCCTGTTAGATTCGACCAGTAAAGGTAAAATAAAACAAGATTAAATAAAGATTGACCAGGAAGCCATTTTTTTGCACTATGGCACATGTATAATGGCGTCATTATGCATCTTTCACCCAAACACTATACATCTCCATATTTTATTTTATTATTATTATGGAGCTGGCTCATAAATAACAGCTGTTGAAAATGTCAAATGTTAATGAGGCAGGGCAATGCAAGCTTGAATTTGTGGCGTTGGCTGGGAAGGGAGGGGGGCTGGAAACTCTGCGAATATGCCAGTATAGACAGACTCTTATAACAACACCATCTTCCAATTCTCAGAGCACTCTGCAGACTAAAGTGCATCAGTCTGCCATTAATCCCACTTATCACTCTGACAGCTCAGTAATTACACCACTGCTACAGCCCAGGTACTGCAGTTGTAATAAAATATCAACTGCTGTGCAGGATGCATGCTGGTGAGATGTTTTATTAAACTTGGGGAGGAGGGGGGGTTGATCATCAAGTGACATGAGTGTTGACCTATTTTTCCTATTTGACAATAAATTAGCCTTTGACCATGCCATAATAGATATTACCAAGTGAATTTACTCTTCTCAAACAGCAAAAGGTGCAGCATTCCAAGGAACTGGGCAAATGGCGTAAAATAAGACGGTAGGAGAGGCGAGTTAGAACATTATTATCTAAATGGCTATAAATGATTGATATAGTGAGAAATCACAAGCATGGCTCTCCACTTGAAGAGAAATGCAACCACAATTACCAACCCTGCCAACCAAAAAAACCTATAGCCTATGTAAATTGTTCCCAGACAAGCAATGTTTTTTTCTATAACATTTCTATCATTTTGAACTTCATGCTTCCGACGTCTTCTGCTGCTTTTCAAACTGGATGCATTATCATTTAAATTAAATAATATTGAGAAGGAATGAGAGAAAACATTTTGAAAGTCATAAATAGATACAACATCACACCCCACACGTTTATTTCCACACTGTTTTGAGAAGAGAGGTACTCTATCCAAACTAGGTCAAGCAAGAGGGTGGTTAAATTAATTAGTTAACCTATTATTACTAAAAATGCAGTTTTCATTTGAACAATATTTAAGTATGAGACACATTTATGAATTTGTATACTCATGAAATTAGTTCTGTGTGAATGACATTTCTTCCTTAATGGTCCAAGAAAAAGCACCTATCCTGTTTTATAACAATGCAACAGGTGGCTGAAACACATGTGATTTTAATTTTAAATAAATAATTTTACAAAAAGTTATTTTTTACAAATAACTCACATTTGAAGCAAAAGCATCTACTTGTTGATGGGAAAAAATGATTCAATGAGAAACAATGAAAAAAGATCTACCGGTATCAAAAATATGTGCACAAGTCTCCTATTCAATGTATTGTATGACCTGTTTAAATTTCAGTATAACCAGTGCAGACTGAGTCATTGTTCATAGAACAGATCATTTCTGCTTCAAGT